CAGGAACTGCTGACACACTCCAGCCACATGAGGTCTAGCATTGTCTTGCATTAGGAGGAACCCAGGGCCAACCGCACCTGCATATGGTCTCAGAAGGGGTCTGAGGATCTCATCTCGGTACCTAATGGCAGTCAGGCTACCTCTGGCGAACACATGGAGGGCTGTGCGGCCCTCCAAAGAAATGTCACCCCACACCATTACTGACCCACTGCCAACCGGTCATGCTGGAGGAGGCGGAGGTAGCGGTCCTGCTGCTGGGTTGTTGCCCTCCTACGGCCTCCTCCACGTCTCCTGGTGTACTGGCCTGTCTCCTGATAGCGCCTCCATGCTCTGGACACTGCGCTGACAGACACAGCAAACCTTCTTGCCACAGCTCGCATTGATGTGCCATCCTGGATGAGCTGCACTACCTGAGCCACTTGTGTGGGTTGTAGACTCCGTCTCATGCTACCACTAGAGTGAAAGCACCGCCAGCATTCAAAAGTGACCAAAACATCAGCCAGGAAGCATAGGAACTGAGAAGTGGTATGTGGTCACCACCTGCAGAACCACTCCTTTATTGGGGGTGTCTTGCTAATTGCCTATAATTTCCACCTGTTGTCTATCCCATTTGCACAACAGCATGTGAAATTGATTGTCACTCAGTGTTACTTCCTAAGTGTACAGCTTGTTTTCACAGAAGTGTGATTGACTTGGAGTTACATTGTGTTGTTTTAGTGTTCCCTTTATTTTTTTGAGCAGTGTATATAGTGAATAATGTTATAAAACACAAGTAGAGCAAAAGTGAAACTGATCATTTCTATAACATAACGTAGTATAAAGTCTAAACTAGTATATAAAGTAAAATTATTTACAAATGCAGAGAGTACTATATCTGCAAGAAATAATGTAATTATTCAGATTTAATAAGAAGCAAATTCAAAGAGGCAGAGCTTGACACCCGCCAGACAACATCTTAAACAGTGTGGTGCAGTGAACTAGTTTTTGGCAAATAATCGGTGCTGCTACTCACCAAACAGAATCTGTCTCTGGAAGTTATCAGCTGCCAATTAAAACCTGTTCTATACCAACCAGCAGTTCAGCAGCAACACAAGAGGAGGGACTTAAACCATGTGCAACACAAGCTTCACTTGAGGAGTTCAAAGCTTATCTCCCAACTTACCTGATACAGACTCGGGTTGAACTTGCCTGATGCATCGACCACGGTCCAGCGCTCACATAAATCCATGGCAGGTTCTCATGTGGACTCCCAATATATTGTGGCTTTATTACAAATGAAACCACAGCTTAAACGACCTGTGTCCCCTTTTGAGGGATCACATCTCCTTACTAGACATAACATCTGCACTGCCTATCCAGTGGTGTATTTTGGTTCTGTGCAGCCCTAGGCTCACCCCTGTTAAGGCTGCACATGTTCCTGTTTAAGACCCATCTCTTCCTCTTTAGGCCTTGCCTTTAATGACCCATACACACACTGAATGGGTCACATACTGTTTAACCAACACACACTTTCACCGATATACATACACTCACAAACACACTCACTGACAGACACACACACTTACTGATACATTCACAGACACACAACCACAATGACATATACACACCCACTGACAGACACAAACTGATTTGACACACACTCACAGGCACACACACACACACACACACACACACATTCACTGACAGACACACACATTATATGACAGACAGACAGATACACACATATTCTCTCACACACACTTATAAAGTATTACTATTCTTTTTTTTATGTTTGATTTATGTCCACCCAGCCTCCCTACCTTTGGAAGGGCTGGAGTGGATCCTGTCCCTGGGGTTCAGTGTGGATCCTGTCCCTGGGGTTCAGTGTGGATCCTGTCCCTGAGGTTCAGTGTGGATCCTGTCCCTGGGGTGAAGTGTAGATCCTGTCCCTGGGGTGAAGTGTAGATCCTGTCCCTAGGGTTAGTGTGTGATCCTGTCCCTAGGGTTAGTGTGTGATCCTATTCCTAGGGTCCAGAGTGTGATCCTATTCCTAGGGTCCAGTGTGTGATCCTATTCCTAGGGTCCAGTGTGTGATCCTATTCCTAGGGTCCAGTGTGTGATCCTATCTCTAGGGTCTAGTGTGTGATCATGTCCCTGGAGTTCAGTGTGGCTGCTGTAACTGTTAGGCTGCTGTGAGTGTGCAATGGAGGTGGCGATGTAGCTGTAATCTTCTTGCTTTGCTCCATCACGTGCCGTTTAGTGGTGCCAGAGCCGGAATGACATCATATCTTCTGGTATTCAGCATCACAGGAATTTACTGGGGACGTAGAAGCGCCGCATTAGGCTCACCTCAACTTCTGGCACTCATCATGTATTGTTTCTTCTTTTGTAATTTTCTATAATGCACAAACGACATCATAACATTTTACACTCAGTGCAGTTTGGTTATTACACTTATTTAAGTATAATCTCTGCACTAGTTAACTCGACTGATAAATAATATAAAAAAGGCAATAATTGCATCACAGAGCTTCATAGTTTGTTGTAAGGTCTTTAGGTTTGCAGTATCGACTTTTTGATTTCATTTTTCTTTTATTCACTTACTTTTTACTGTTATAAAGGAGCCTTTGTACACAAAGCCTATCTTTTCTAAGTTTCCTGTATGCACATACTAGTACTGTTTAACACACTATCTGTTGTCATAATGTATATGATTTTCTCTAACCATGTGTCTGTTATATTGTGGATTCTATTTGTTATAACATGCCTCAATAAAATATTGATTGGCAAAAAAACTGAAATAAGAAATTCTCATGCTAACCTCGGCATATTACTGCCAACATTGGCAAGACTATATTATCTCTCACATGCTTTCTCTACAACATGTAGTAACTTTTTGTGAAGAAATGTATTTCAGAGTCAGGATGTCTGGGTCCGGTTGGCAAATAAACAGCTAGCTAACTTTTTTAATTTTTATTTTATGGTGCATAATAAACCTGAAATAAAGGAAATGTGCCTTCAAATAAAATGTGTAAAAAATATGTGAATAGAAAGCAATACTTTATGTGATTTGTGAGAACTATATATATAATTAGATTGTGTAAACACCAATGTGTACTTTAAGAAAAGCACTTTGAGTTCACTAATAAAATACCAAATACTGAACACTAAATTTGGCTTTGGAGTGGTCTTCCTATACAAATTATCTTATACAGTTAGATCTGAGAACGATAAGACATAATGGGGTAAAACCTCAGATGCAAAGTGTAATTTACTGTTAGTTTATAATAAACAAGATACAATCTCATATTAAAAGCTCCAAACCTTCAGCAAATAAAAGATATATCTTGGACTAGTTTCATTATATTATTTCCTGAAATGTTACGGATTTTAATGCTAGATTTTATGATGTTTATGATAAACTTCATCTTTGTTTTTATTCCACAATACTGTCAGTTTTTTTTTTTTTTTACATATAATTGCACAAGCATGTTTGTATTAAAAGATAATTACCAAGCCACTCAGTCATCCAAATGATGGGATATTGAAAAATATGTACATACTTTAATCACGTTTGGCCAAGTTTGGTATGTACCTGTATTAAGAAGTTCATGTTCTGGGTTCGACCACAAATCCTTCTTTTTTTTTGTTACGCAATTATAAGTTACAAATCTTCCCACACTGAGCACTGTTTAAGATCATGGATATCCCAAAGATAGTTTTAGATTAATAGAGGAGGAATTAATACAAAAGTTGTTGATTCTACCCATATTTATGTTTTACGCTCATAGTTTTACTAGTTTTCACATTGTGGTATTTTAATTATTGCATAGGCCCATGGAAACAAACTAATGTTTTCCTTGAAAATAGCATTTCATTTCAGAATTTGAGAGCATACTACACAAATATTTTGTTTTGGTCAATACTAGATGCAACATGTGGTTTTATGTGTTTTTGTTTGCAACATATAAGCAAATAAAATGTTCATAATTAAGAAAATGGTTATTAACATTTACAGACTTTTTCACTAAAGTGAGAATTAAAAATAAATCCAAAGTGAATTTTAAATTTAATGTCAAAAGAGCCAAACTGGGATAAAAAGTCAACTCTGCTTTCAGATTGGCTACTCGGGTCTTAAATTTATAAAATTCACTTTGAATTCTCACTTTAGTAAATCTGTAAATCAGTCACTGCAATTAATACAATCAACTCCCAAGACTTTGACATGAATAATGTGTTTTCATTCATGTAGTTACATAAGTTTTTTGAAAACAAAATTAAACTGGGAATTGGGAAACAGTTCCTTTAGTTTTTTGTACTCCCCTCCCTCCCTTTATTGATGCCCGGTGCAGAGATTTGTTAATCACAATTTTTACCACTGCCACTTACCATGGTGGCCATGCCTTGCTCGTAATCCTTCAATAAATCTGCACTATAAGGACATTTGTTCTCCAGGAAATCTTTTTTACATCAAGTTCTTTTGCATGCAGTATCACTTCTAGGTGCGAATTTTCAGAATTGGAGAAACAATGCTGCTGGCACTGAAAACATTGGACGCATCTACTACAATGGTGGAGTGAGTAATTCGTTTTTTGTCATTCTGTGATATTGGCATATTCTCTTTTAATATTTTTTTGTCTGGGGCGGGGCCTGTCCGCAGAGCTTGGAAGACATGAACCACAAGAGCTCCTGCAAAAGCTACACTTAAAAGCTATTTTTCTGCTCCAAAAGGCGACTAATCAGGCCACAAAGGCCACCGGCTGTAAGGGGATACTAAGCAGAATAGAATGATACCCCACAAACGGCACTACAAGCAACTTTCACCGATTAGGCAAGTGAGGCAAGCACAGGAGGGACGACTGTTATACCACCGCCGCTACTAGCTACCTCGAAAACCTTTGAAGGGCCCCTGTTCCCCCCTCCCCCATGGACCAGTGGGGGTTATCCTGGTCCGGAATTCACAGGGCTACAGAACCCCACAAACCTCCAAAACTGCAAACAGCATGTACCCAGAGGCCAAGATGGCGTCTGACGATCGAGCTTCTAGGCCCCCACCAGCCCAACCTCTACCAGCGCAGCTGGCAAGCGGGCACCCTCAGGAGGACCGCATAGCGGCAGCCTTCAACCTTTTCTGGACACGGTGGCAAACCATACTGGCACAAAACCGAGCAACCACAGTGGTCACCCAACTGTCCGCCACCTCCTCTGCAAGGGTTCCAGCTCTTAAAAGCATAACTATGCCACCAACCAACATAACGCAGCAGAAGGCAACAAGAGCCCCACTTAACCCTAACGACCGCAGACCAAGCACCCGATACCGCAAGCCCGGGTACCGACGGGCTCGGAGAGCCACTACACACAGCCTGCCGCCCCACAAACTAAAATGGTGCACTCGAGGGGCCTATGCCCGGCCTACACCAGACGAAGCCAAGAAAGCCTGCCAACGCTCAACCCACAAGCAGTGAGACACTGCCGCAAACAGCACCCCGGAGAGCTGGGCTGCTACCTCGAGGGGACACACAGAGGCTCACTCTCACCAAAAGACACAGAGAGCAGAGAAGCTCCCACACCACCAAGCACACACCTTCACCGCCCAAGGCACTCACGCAGGACCGGGTGGCGGCGGAGCCCCTCCAATTTCCATGCTCCGCGACGCAGAAGCCCCACGGGATTTTCTGGTATGTGCCCTGCCAGTGCCGATTACAGGAATAGGCTGATTTCCACTGACTCTCACTGCCGCATGGCGGCCCGGACTGCTGCCATGCCACCACGTCCATGCAGCCATGGACTTTGTCCTGCAATACTTTCAAGCAATGCCTCCCTGAGATAGACGAAACTTAGCACACTTAGATAAGCATGATTTCACAAATGTCTATTACCCTGGTCAATCATTTTGTTAATGTAACACTCGTTCTGATTGCACTTGTTAGCAATGTTATTATATGTTTTTACAGTGTGGATTAGCCTGTCTAGTGACCGCATGCCTTAGCCTCTCATGTTGCACTAGGTAACCCACTTAAAATGGCCTTAACTTGTATTGAGCACTTCATTCACGCTATGCTTATCTGTACAGCCGACCTAGCTGGGTACTTGCAACACAGCGAAATAGACTTCAGTGGCCTATATCATAACCTTGCACACTTAGCAGCGCTCACACATCTTGTTACACACAGTTCACTTGCAAGCACTGTACTAATTCAGCATGCACACCCTTCACAAAAAGCGCAGATTAAGCCAGTAAGTATAATTGCAATGAGTGACCAATATTAATCCAATATCTGTTTATGCATCTATACATAAAAAATGTGCACTGTTTAAATGCCATAATTGTAAAATCAACGTGATATGTTTATGCTTGCGAACGCTATTGTGGCGAGGTAAGCTGTCTTGTTTCATTCATGCACTCAAAAATAAAGAATTCAAAAAAAACTAAATATAAAAAAAAAAAAATAATAATAATTTCTATGAGTTTTCCCCCCATATTTGGGAAAGCAAAACATACGGTGTTTGCTTTCAAAACAATACAAAAATTATCGATTTCAGAACATATATTTGACGACCACCTATTTATAGCAGGCTTTTGCTTATGCTCAATATGTATTGAATTCCCCTTTAATTTTACTGTTTAAATATGCAGAGCATGTTTGGAAGGAATTTATTCACTCCACATTAAACAGCTGGGTATAGTTCCAAAAGTACACATAAGCTATTTTTACATCTATGTAAGTAAATATCTGGAAGTTCCTAACTGACTTCAAACTTGAGCCATCAGCAGAAGAATGTATCCCATTATATAATGACAGCTAGGATACTAATATAACAAAGCCACATTAGTTCATTTGCAGCGCAATGACATCAGTTTTATAGTAATCTGGGAAGTCTCGCTGTCTTTTTCCAGTAAGTGAAAACGTAGTGCCTACATAGGAGAATCTGCATGAATACAACCATATAAGAAAAAATACACAAATGAGGGGGAAGTAACCCTTAAACAAAAGGGAGCTGTAACGGATCGCCTGGCACCCCGACTGGGTACCTCCGTTGAAGGATGCTCCTAGCGCTTCCTGAGGACTCCAAGCACTGCAGCAGACACCAAAACCACTGAACCGTAGGAGCATATGAATGCTCTCAAGCATATGAATGCTGTAGACAGTTGAATAGGAACCATACGAATAGGTTTACTCTCCTAGCAGTCAAACTGGAACCGCATACAATAAATCCTTCCCCCAATAATGAGACGACACTTCACTTTGAGGGTTAAAACAGGAACTCCAGTGCTGGCACACCCAGCCTGGTTTTTATTACAATCCACAAAACATAGTACTGCCCACAGGGTTTTGCAGAACCACCAATAAACACATTACAACACATACAATGCAAGTACAGCAGCCAATCAGACACAATGGGAAAATAGAAACACACCCAGCATATTCCTCCCCTCTGCTTAGGAGATAATTGAGTCAATTACTGTATCTACTCAATTATCTCCAAGCTGAAAAGTTACTTTTTGTACATTTTTATAACTTTGGAGTTAACATCGTACATACATAAAACTTACATTTTCATAATCAATCCATTCAGGGGAACAACATATTAAAAAATGGCACGAATCAGACCAGGGGTTCAAAAGTTAAGGGAAAGTCCTTTGTGACTAAATGAAGCATGGCTTTCTGGCCCAAACCAGTTTCAGAGTCTTCTATCCTGGAGAGTAATTCAATTATCTCCCAGGATAGACACAAGACTCCATTAAGCACATGGTTGCAAAAAGACACAAAACACTTTAAAATACATAAAGTCACATTTACACCTAGCACACAGACATTTCACATATCCCCAGATAGCTGGGATCTGAGTGCACATTATTAGATGAATGGCACTCAGATCACACAAATAAGCCTTTCTGCAGGGGAAATAAACGGTTTAACCTGCAGGGCCATAGTCCAAAGGGAGCAGGCGAGCAACCAGGCTTCTCCAGTTCACAGTGGCGAGGTTGGTTTCGCCACACTTCTCCCCTTTACCAACTAGACTAACAGGGTATCTGACCTCCTGCCGGTCAGTGCCCTGGTTAGTCCAGCAACCCACCCACAAAACAGAAACAGCAGTACAGCCCACCCACAATAACTGGTTACTACACCTGGGTAGAGGAGAACTTTGTCCATGTCCAGGTGCCTCACCACGACTGTGTGGGCAACTGTTAGGCTGCCTTGGTGGGTTGCTGAGTGGGCAGAGACCAGCGGTACTCTGCCCTGATGCCAGTGCTACCACGGAAGTAGCCTGGTGGGAGCCTGGTTGTGGGAGGGAGAGACCGACTGTCTCCCCTCTGGATACACCGCTCTGTGGCTGGGGAACAGGACCGACTGTCCCTACCCCTTGTGCTGTAAGTGCAGAGACTACAGTCCCATCTGCACTGTTGGGGGGTGTAACATCTCCCCTTGCTGGGTTAGGCTGCCGCTGGAGAGAGGGTGTAACAAGCTCCTCTCTCTGAACTGTAAACTGCCGCTGGGGAGAGGGGGTATCAGGCTCCTCTCCCTGACACTCTCTCTGCTGGTGGAGAGGGGGACCAGCTGTCTCCCCTTTCATTATTTTGTCCTGTGGTTGGGGTGCGAGACTGACGGTCTCTGCTCCCTGCAGGACACTCTGCCGCTGGGGAGGAAGGACGGCACCTTCAGCTCCCTGGGGTACACACTGCCGCTGGGGAGGAAGGACTGCACCTTCAGCTCCCTGGGGTACACACTGCCACTGGGGAGGAAGGACTGCACCTTCAGCTCCCTGGGGTGCACACTGCCGCTGGGGAGGAAGGACTGCACCTTCAGCTCCCTGGGGTATATACTGCCGCTGGAGATCTGGGCCGACCGCCCAGCATCCCTGTAGGGCCGGTTGAGAGACCGCCGTCCCATCTCCACCTGCCATCTGTGGGTCTTCCCAGGACCAGTCTGTGAGGTCCCTCAACATTTGCGAGTAAGGACCACCTGCTTCCGCACCTGGCAACTCCGGCTGCTGCTGGGGATCTGGGCCGGTCCCATCTCCACCTGCCTGTTGTGGTTCCTCACAGGACCAGTCTATGAGGACCCCTACTTCGGGTTCCTGCGGCCGCCTCAGGGGGAGACGGCTAGCCTCCTCGGATGCAGCCTCTACTCGGCTGCTGTAACACTCCTTCCGCTGAGCATACTCTCTCTCTTTCGCCAGCCGGAATTCTCGGGCCAGCCTTGTGTTTCTCTCAGCCGTGACCTGGTTCCAGATCACCCGGCGTACCTCCATGGGTAAATCATCCCCATACTGGGCCACTCGCTGCCTCACCTCGGCCATCCAATCATCTCCAGAGCCTTCCATACTTGTCTGCTCCAAGTCGCTGGATACCTCTGCTCCCAGGGTCGCTGCACGTGTGCTAGCATTGCCCTCAATTTGTAACTCCACGAACGGTGTCTCTGAGCTGCTTTACCTCGCACTAGGACGCCATCCCACCGCTTGCCACCAATGTAACGGATCGCCTGGCACCCCGACTGGGTACCTCCGTTGAAGGATGCTCCTAGCGCTTCCTGAGGACTCCAAGCACTGCAGCAGACACCAAAACCACTGAACCGTAGGAGCATATGAATGCTCTCAAGCATATGAATGCTGTAGACAGTTGAATAGGAACCATACGAATAGGTTTACTCTCCTAGCAGTCAAACTGGAACAGCATACAATAAATCCTTCCCCCAATAATGAGACGACACTTCACTTTGAGGGTTAAGCAGGAACTCCAGTGCTGGCACACCCAGCCTGGTTTTTATTACAATCCACAAAACATAGTACTGCCCACAGGGTTTTGCAGAACCACCAATAAACACATTACAACACATACAATGCAAGTACAGCAGCCAATCAGACACAATGGGAAAATAGAAACACACCCAGCATATTCCTCCCCTCTGCTTAGGAGATAATTGAGTCAATTACTGTATCTACTCAATTATCTCCAAGCTGAAAAGTTACTTTTTGTACATTTTTATAACTTTGGGAGTTAACATCGTACATACATAAAACTTACATTTTCATAATCAATCCATTCAGGGGAACAACATATTAAAAAATGGCACGAATCAGACCAGGGGTTCAAAAGTTAAGGGAAAGTCCTTTGTGACTAAATGAAGCATGGCTTTCTGGCCCAAACCAGTTTCAGAGTCTTCTATCCTGGAGAGTAATTCAATTATCTCCCAGGACAGACACAAGACTCCATTAAGCACATGGTTGCAAAAAGACACAAAACACTTTAAAATACATAAAGTCACATTTACACATAACACACAGACATTTCACATATCCCCAGATAGCTGGGATCTGAGTGCACATTATTAGATGAATGGCACTCAGATCACACAAATAAGCCTTTCTGCAGGGGAAATAAACGGTTTAACCTGCAGGGCCATAGTCCAAAGGGAGCAGGCGAGCAACCAGGCTTCTCCAGTTCACAGTGGCGAGGTTGGTT